ATAGATAGATAGATAGATAGATAGATAGATAGATAGATAGATAGTTTAAATATAAGGAAAAGGTTCTTGAAGGCACACAATAGTGGAGTTTTGTGGGTTCTCCACTTTAGAGGTTTTCTAAAAAGATACTAAAGAGTTACTCTTAAGGATAATTATCTGGTTTTCTTGCACATCTTGAGAAGTTTGCACTAGAGTAATTCCAGCATTTGATGTCTAGTGGTTAAGGAACTAGATTAAAAACCAAGAGACTAGTAGTTCTAGTTCTACTTTAGGCATGAAAGCCAGCTGGGTGACTTTGGGCCAGTCACACTCTCTCTCAGCCCAATCCCATCTCACTGGGTTGATATTGTGAAAATAGGAAGAGGAAGGATGTATTAGGTATCTTCTCTGCCTTGAATTATTTATAAAAATGATAAAGGCAAGATAAAAATATATGCTAGTACACCTGGATTTTATTGATCTTCCATGCAGCTTGTTCAAATTTTGAATTTAATTTTAAGGTTATTTATGAGATGTAACAGTAACGGCTACTGTTTATAACTGAGTTGCTCTTTAATATCTTGAGATCTGGATTTTTCTGAGTTTGGAGTCTCTTTGTGTTTTTTTTATCCTATTATTGTACACTCCTTAAGATATTTTGGACTTGGGTGCAATGAAAACATGCACAGGAACACTTGTGTATCAGTGATGAGATTAAAATTTTTTTACTACTGGATCTGTGAGCATGGCTTGGTGGGCATGGTATGGCTTAGTAGGTGTGGCTTGGTGGGCATGCCTTGGTGGGTGTGGCAGGGGAAGGGTATTGTAAAATCTCCATTCCCTCCTGATCAGCTGAGACTCGGGAGGCAGAGAATAGATGGGGGCGAGGCCAGTCAGAGGTGGTATTTACCAGTTCTCTGAACTACTCAAAATTTCTGCTACTGGTTCTCCAGAACTGACCAGAACCTGCTGAATACCACCTCTGATATGTAAACATATACATATATACTCGTGGACATATATGTATAAATGTTTATGTGTGTATACTTGAGATAGATGGCTATACAAATTGTTTAGGAATGCACAGAAACAGAGAAAGAAAGGGGAGGGACAGGCTATCTAGAATTCTTCTCCTATGTGAAGAACTACTGGAGTGATAGAAAAGCTATTTCTGAAAAGCTATTGCTATTCAATAGATATGTGCCAAGAAAAAGCAAGGCTTAAAAGCTTAGGAAGCTGCTGATTTGCTTAGTTTCAAGCCCTCGTTTTTGCCTGCATAGTGTTTCTTGGTTTCTTTACATTTGATATAAATTTAAACAGGGACATTCACATAATCCTGGAGGTAATTTGGTGCCAAGCCCTACAGATTAATACCAGCACATTAAATTGCACCAAAAAACAGGTATAACACCTTCCTACTGGCAACTACCAGAGTCTACATAGTCTGTTGCAGTTTGAGCCTCCAAGTGGTATTGGTAGAATTGCTACCAGTTTTGTCCAATAATGGATAGAAGTGTAAGGTATTTGTTTATCTTTCTATTATCTATCAACAGGACATCAAGACTGTACAAGGCATCAAGACTGAATAAGACAACTGCTTTTGTATCTTTTGCACATACAAAAGGAGGATGAGCAAATGTTTCTAAATGAACTTTCCAAATTACCCTTGACATGGAAACTCTGGTCCATTGGTCATTTCATTGCAAAAAAAAAGAAGATGTAAAATACATATAGTGCCACGTAAAGATAAAGAAATGGCATGGAAGAAAAGAAAAAATTCTTACATGTTTTTCTTCAAACTGGTCTCCACCGAATGCTGCCACACAGGGTTTGATTCCTCCCGTTCCAAGAGCAATCAGAGAGAGGCCCGTCATTGACAAAACCCTTCAAATAGGAGAAAGTTTCAACACCATAAAAAGACTTGGGAGAAGAGCAGGGGAAGTCTTAGGGGGCAGAGCTGCCATAACAGAGTCTTTTGAAGCATGTTTGTAAGGACTCTTAAGCAGCATGCTGTGACAAGCCCAAATCCTGCACTAGGAACCATGCCGGGAAGTTATCCTTTTCCATTTCTATCTAACGGACCAAAAAATAAGCAAAAATCAAGTTGGATCAGTAATGTCTTATAAGATGGATCAGTGATGTCTTATAAATCTTTAGTCTCAAAAATATGTCAGAAGAGAAGTTGAAATGAGATCACAATTTTGGTTGGATCTGTAGCTTATTGCCTTTTGTATCATAGCACTGAGCTACTCCACTCAGGTGTAAATTCTTGAAGCGTAGACTCAGTTTATGACTCATTATGATGGCATCACCAGCTAATGACAATAGGAGACATTTTTCTATTAAAAAGGGGAAATGACAGAATCTCCAGCGTTGTTGTATCTCCTCCCAGTGAGTAGGCTGCAAACTCTGCAGGAATAGACCATGATCTAACTACAATTTGACTTTTATGCTGCATTTGGCATTACGTACACTCCTCTCAAAGGTATGCAAAGGAATGGCTGGCTGTTGTAACTGTATCACCAATGAGGCCCAGTAGTATTGGTGGGAGTGGAGACAGGGGTTGTGAAAAAGATATCTGCTCTGGCAATGCTGATGGGGCAGTGAGTGCTAACAAATGCCCCCAGATATTGTGTACCAGTACCAATATGTATAGCATATTCAAGAGCAATATTGATGGTGCTTCAACATTCTAGAAGAATGGTTATTGGGAATTTGAAAGTGAATCCAGGACTAAATCATCTGGAACTTCCTTCTCACTATCAAATATGAAATGCAAATAAATTCCCCAGCTCAATGCAGCAAAATCACACTTAATCATTCTGGAATAAGACTATGGAACACAATTGCTAAGAAATATGTGCTTTTCAATGAGTTTAAGAAAGCTGTATACTTTTTTTATTTCTTTACACAACCTTTTGAAAGCTGAAGTTATTAACTAGGTTAACTTATTAGGTGGGATTTGAATTCGTGTTATTGCTATATAATTTATTTTTATCACTTATTTGTATCTTAAACTGCCCAATAATTGAAACTATCTGAATGGTGTAGACAATTAAAAATTATAAAATATATAACAATAATATCAAATGAATGTGATTATAATTGATTGATTGATTCTTATGTTTCCTTGAATAAAGAATTAATCTGGGAAATAATACATCTGAGAAAACAAAAATTGCCCAAGCTCTCTGTGCCATTTAAGGTTTTTTATTGCCTTATTGTTGCAATCTCTTGTTTTACTCAAAAAAAACCCCACCTATTCCTCAATGCAAAGAACCTTTATAGAGGGGTGTGGCATGTTGATGAAGCTAAGATGGCAAGATCTGAGGTTGTTGAGATTTGGGTTGAAATAATTCAGTTCCCTTAGGACTATGAATTCTTTATGACTATAGCTTCATGTCTGCGGAAAACAAGTTCAATACATCAGAAATAACATTTTTCCGCAGGTTCTTTTTAGCATTGTTAGGTAGAACTTTTTGATACCAGAGAATATTCTGCTTTGTGATTCCACACCTAGGTTACCCAGCATTCATTTTGAATATAGCCAATTCAAACATTTATGGAAAATACTTTTTATATTGTCTTGGGATTGTATATAAGTTCCAACAATAAGACGATCAGAATAGAGCTGGAAAGCACCTTGGAAATCTTCTAGACCAACTCCCTGCTCAAGCAGGAGATCCTTTACCATTTCAGACAGTGGCTGTCCAGTCTCTTCTTAAAATCCTCCAGTGATTAAGCACCCACAACTTCTGAAGGCAAGCTGTTTCACTGGTTAGTTGTCCTCACTGTTAGGAAGTTTCTCCTTAATTCTAGGTTGCTTCTTTCCTTGATTAGTTTCCATCCATTGTTTCTTGTCTTGCCTTCTGGTGCTTTGGAAAATAAGGTGGTCCACTCCTCTTTGTGGCAGCCTCTCAAATACTGGAATACTGCTATCATGTCACCCATAGTCCTTATTTTCTAAATCCTGAACCGTTCTTCATGTTTTAGTCTTCTGGCCTTTAATTATCTTAGATGCTTTTCTTTGCACTTTTTTCAAAGTTTCAACATCTTTTTTGTGTAATGTATTTTATAATAAATAATCAAANGGGGCACCAGGCTGTGTTCCTGGCCCTCTCATATATACTACAACCATTCTCTCATTCAAACCCCACTATGATCATTTAAAAATTACAAAGTTACAAACATAATAATATAAAATTAATTAATTTAAATTAAAAGTGGGCACATTCATCATCATTCATACCATACACACATACTTCATCCCGGTAAAATTGCACAGTTCTTAGTTTCCGCCCAAGCGGATTTGTGCAGGTCGGAGCCAAAGCTGGTGTTGGTATGGGAGGGGGGGATTTCCAGTCCCTCTCCTCCCTCGTAGGTCCGGAAAGTGTAAAATGCAAAAGGGGAGGGGGGCAGGAGGTCCAGAGTCTGAGAGTGGCCAAAGCTGATCCAGTGGGGGGGGGGAGAATGTAAACGCCAGTTCAAGCCAGTTCAAGAAGGTGGTTAAAGTCATGGCTGCGTCCTCCCCGCTTCTCGCCGCTTCCTCTCATCGTATGCGCGCAACACAACAGGCTATAGGGTTGCCAGCATGCAGGATAGTCTTTATGATCATTGCGATGATAGTATTTTTCGAGAGGCAAACCAGGAGAGGAGAAGGTGAAATAAATCAGGGCCGAAAATGGCGGTCACTGAGGGAAAAGTTCCAACCCCCAGGTGCACCGTCCATCCAAATTTTCAATGCCAGGGGTAGGGCGGTTGGAAAGATGGGGCTGTCAGAAAGGGCACCTCCAAGGAAACTACAGATGATACTGGGCGCGCCGGTCGCCACACACCAGACAAGGAAATAGGTGGAATAAAACCTTGCAGCGGGAACAGCATGGCGAGAGAAGTCCGAAAAGAGGGAGAGGTGGGGAATCTAAGGGAACTGCGGCGGCGGCAGGAAGCCCAGTCCCGATACCTATTATCCCACGCTCACCACTCCCTTCTTCGGGCGAGATGTAATCCAGGCGTCTCCCCTCGGCAGCAAAAGCCGACAGCAAAAATGAAAGTAAAGACGCTCGCTCACCGCCCTCGTAACACTGCTGTTGTCATTGTTGCCCGTACAGTGCCGCCGCCGTCGCTACCACCAGCTGGTGCAGGAACGCTGAGGCTGAAGTTGCCGCCCAGGGGCCGCCCGAGAGCAACCCCCTCCCAGTTGACCACTTCTCTGCGATGTCGGATAGTTGATCTCCTCCCCATGTCTCCTATTACAGTAACTAAAGTCTCAAGCCCTTGCATTTGTGTTCGTTTGTTATTTCGAATGCCTAAGCGGTAACGCTTGGCAGCCATATTCCATCCCGCACATGCGCATCCTCCTTTGACGGAGGTGGATGTCTACTCAAAGTGAGTATAGCTCTTCATCATGTCATCCACCACCGCCGAGGCCAGTATCTGGAAGCTGCGGCACCTTTTTGCCACCCACCCATGGCATTCCGGACACAGTAGTGTCCGACAATGGCACCCAATTCACAGCCGCAACCTTCCAGGAATTCCTGGCCGGCTTGGGCATCCACCATGCCCTCACCGCACCCTACCACCCAGCCTGTAATGGCCGGGTAAATGTGTGGTCTGCACATTTGGGTGGAATGGGCCATGGTGGTTGGCCAGACAAGGTCAATGTCTGCCTCGTAGGTCAGCATTCAACCTTCTGCCTCATCTCCCACAAAAGCCCTGCAGAGCTGTTGATGGGCCACCGCCTACGGACTACCCTTGACCAGTTACATCCCCAATATGTCGCCCCACATCCTGAGAGCATGGGGGCCCTCCTAGAATTTTCCAGGAGGGGGATTTAGTCTATGCAAGGAACTACATTGGGGACCCTAGGTGGGTGCCTGCCACCATCACCCAAATAACTGGCCCCTGTTATTATAGGGTCAGCTTCCCGGATGAGCATGAATGGCGGCAACACGTGGACCAACTGAGGTGCCGCCTAACAACTGAGGCCTTCCCCAAGTCAGGCCTCTTCTATGATGCTGCCGCCTGCTGACCACCATCCAGCTACCAGCCTTAGGCCGAGCCGCCACTGTTATTGGACTTACCCTTTCAGCCGCCACCTCCTGTTGGGGAGGGTCACCCAGAGCACCACTCCCATGGGGGAGGAGCTACCACGGGCATGTCCTGCTTCTTCACCTGCACCACCACTAATGCGGCGTTCTGGGCAGGTCCAACGTCGGTCCGCCTACTTAAGTGACTTCGCTTGCGCCCCATTCACGCATGCACCCTCACTGGGGGGGGAGGAGTGTTATGTCCTCGACTTGTGATCAGTCTTAAGTCATCGACTTACAACTGGCCGCAAGTCCTCAACATACGACTGACAGCCGGCAACAGCTGAGCCACGCCTGATTGGCTAAGGAGCAGCTGGTTGAGCGCGGGCTGTTTCTGTGATCTTATTGGTTGCCCTGCTTGACAGCTCTAGTATAAATCGCTGTCAAGCAATTTTCAGGCCATTTTTCAGGATGTTTTCATGCTGTTTTCCTAACCCAAACCCTAATCCAAAAAACAGCCTGACAACAGCCAAAAAATGGACTGAAAATGGCCCCCAAAACAGCCAGAAAATGGACCTGAAAACGGCCTAAAAACAGCCAAAAAACAGGCATGCACACACTGGCCAGCTGGTCTCCAGATTTCTGATGCTCCGGTGTTCACACATGCATGTGCATTCCAGTTTGGGCACTCGGTGCTGAAAAGCTTCACCATCACTGATCTGTAGCATTTTGGGAGTACAAAGTAGACTTTCCAGTAGAACTGATCAGCAAAAGTTGAAGAACTACCTGTGTTCATGTGACATGAACTGACTTAATGATTTCTTTCTTACTCAAATTCTCTTCCTTCTCTTTCTGCTA